TGTAGTGTGTGGTATAGTGGGCTAGTTGGTGATACACAGCCCAAGTTTCTGTTCTCTGTGGACAGAGTGTTATTGACTGATATTAGATGTGGATATTGAGCCGATGTGTTTCATTTTAGGGACAGAGCTTGAGGTGGTTGAAACGGCAGAAGTAAAAGAAAGCATTACGGAGGAGGAACTACGGCCAGAAGGTGCTGAGGGCTCCACAGAGACTAAAGTGCGCAGTGAGGTCTCTACAGAGCAGCAGGCCCCTTTAGCTACAGTTTCAGGTAAATTTCAAAACCCACCACAGTAGCTTAGGTTTCTATGTGCAAACATTTATACCGGCCCTGCCATAAAAATTATTTTATTTTATTATATTAATTAATTAATTAATTTTTTACAATTAATGTTTTAAATACATTTTTCTTTGCAGGCTATACATTTCAAATAATATTTTTTAATAATTAGTGCAAATTGTATGTAACTACAGTATAACACCTGTTATAAAAATATTTATAACAATTTTGCTGTAAAATTTTGCCTGTTATCATTTGTAGACGTTGATGAAAAACAAAAAGAGGAGACAACTACCATTGAAGCAGTGGTTACAGAGGCCATTGTGGAAAAATCAGAGGATACTCAGGACCCTCCTGTGAAGGATAGCCCAGATAGTCCTGTACCGGACACTATAGAGGAAGCCCAATCTGATGTAGCTGAAACTAACATAGAAAGGCAGGAGTCGTTGCAAGGGCAAGACAATACTCCTCAGACAGAGATGGAGTCAATCTGCACAGAGGAGACTACAGAAACAAACCCTCCAACAAGCTCATGTTCTCAGTCTTCTCAAATCACACTCCCTGTTTTGGAAGAAGCAGAGCCAGTTGTTATGGACTTGGAGGAGGTGGGATCTAAGGCACGGCAAGAGGAGGCGATACACCGGACTCCTCCCCCTGCTCCTCAGACAGAAATGCCCCCTGCATCTGACACTGATGATATAATGGTCCAGTCTGAGGATGAAGAAGAGGAGGATGAGCAGGGTGTGGAGGAATCCTTAGAGGAGTCGCTCCTCAAAGATGAGAGTCCGGGAGAAGATGACCAGTCCAGGAAGGAGATGCAAGAGGATATGAAGCCAGAGCTGGTCCTCGATGAGTCGTCAAACATTAGCCACGGTGACGAGAGCAGCAGCGGTTTCCTCGGCTCGCCGGCTGAGGCAGACTCTCAGATGCTGTCCATGGAACTCAGCCTGATGCCAGCCGGCAGGACCCGTTCTGATTCGCTGCTAACCGAAACGGAGGACTCGTTGCCTTTTGATCCACTGAAGCCCGATGGAGATAAAGTGAAGCGCAGGGGTTCTCCAGGACGCTCACGGGTAAAGCAGGTGGATGTCAGACACCAGACTTTTTCCTCAGTGACGTTGAATTCTGATGGGTTTGGGTAACACACTAGTCCAAAAGTAGTAATTTTGATGCCGATACATTTATTTTCTGACCTTTCAGGGCAGAGGCAGTGGTTTCCCAGGGAAGCGGCGGCCACGTGGTGGTGGCGGCGGCAGCAGCAGTAGTGGTGGAAGAGGGCGTGGACGGTCACGTCTCAAAGCAATGGCCTCTTGCATTGATGCCTTTCTTGTAAGTTTTTCACTTCATCTGCCAGCCCTTCCTTTACTACTATTTTTAAAGCATATTTCTCTTTAGTGTAATCTATTGTTAATTATTGCTGTTAATTTGAATTGTATAACATTTTAGTTCCCCATATAAAATTGAGTCTTTTGTTGTAGTGTTACTGATTATAATATGTGAATTATTCTAAAAACATTAACACCAGTGTTGTTAACCAAATTTGTTAAAAATCAGTTCATTAATTGAAATAAAATATGAAATGAAAATAAAATATTAATAAATAGTAGATTTAAAAACTTGTACGAAAATGAAAAATGTTGCCTTGGCAACTGACTGAAATGAGTTTAGGTGCTAAAATACCAAAGAGACTAAAATTACTAAAACTGAAAGGAAAATAACTTGGCTAAAGAGAAATCTAAAAAAAACTAACAAAAAAACAA